AAGGACAAGCTTGGTTGCACTGAGAGTGCAGAAAGTCCCTGGACTTACGACGGTGACCGAGCGCCCAAAATTTCCCGGTGTTAAGTGCAACGTTTGCTAAGTGAATTTTGTTCCACGTTAACTACAGTTGTTAAGGGAATCCCTGCAATTGTTAATTTGGTCACAGGGTTGTTGAGTGAATCCGGCTTTCCGATTGACGTTGCTTAAAAAATGGTCATTGACTTTTCAACACCGTTCTAACTTCAAATGGTCACTAAAGGAACCGTTGTAAGTCGAGGACTATCTGTATACATTTTTTTTAGAAAACTCAAGGGCATTTTTGGGACTCACTAGTCATATTAAGTCTCGCTCACCAGTATATTCCATGGCGAAATGTAAAGACAAATAAATGGCTATACATGAAGGCAGTTTTCATGTTGACGAAAAACTTCACAATCGTTTTGAAGACATTTTAGAAGGCGGATTTATCTCGGGGTTATTTTGAAAAGTCACAGCTAAGGCTACAATGCTTATTACATCTCCTTTTATCTTTTCCTTTTTTTTTTTTCCTTTGGCTGCACTTGCAAAATTAATTAATAGTAATCGTAAGGAAACCTCTCCTTGACTAGGCACCTTATAATTAAATCGGTGTCACACACACACACACACACACACACACAAAGGAGTATTCCTTCTTCCAGATGTTGTAGATTTTAGAAGCAGTCTGTGATGACCCAGGGTGTAACACAAACGTAACAAAATCCAAAACGTAAATAAATGTCCTTTAATGCCTCCAATTTGGTCCCACTGTTCAGTAATACTCAGTTGGAGATAAAACGTACTCAAAAATAGTCTTCAAAAGAAAGCAATACAGTCCGAACTCAATGAGCAGATAAGAGATGAAATGAAAAACCAAACAAACTACAATGATGAAATTTCCACAACGGAACAAGATAAGTATTTGCCAAATTCAAGGAGATAACAAGGCGCAGTCTGTTGGAAGGACGCCAACCAAGAAAACTTCAGGCCCAAATAAAACATGCTTTGTTTCCAGCGTTTGCCAGTACACAGGTCCAAACTCTTATTCAGTTGTCACAGCTGCAGCCCATGAAGAGGATCAAGGCCCTCTCCTCCCGAGGAGACCACGTCTCTCCCTTATCCTCTCCTCCCTGCGTGCCCTAGGATGGATAAGGGATGGGCCTGGGTCCTCCTCTGACTGCTCAGCCAGCCATAGATTTGCCATCACGGGCCTAGGTTGACTTTAAGTGAAATTGTTTTCAAAGCCAAAGGTACTTTCTTTTTCAAGAGGCAACTGGACTTTCTGTTTTTTCTTTGAAGACCTTTCACTTCTCATCCAAGAAGCTTCTTCAGCTCTGACTGGATGGTGGGGAATGATCATCCAGTCAGAGCTGAAGAAGCTTCTTGGATGAGAAGCGAAATGTCTTCAAAGAAAAACCAAGAAAGTCCAGTTGCTTCTGGGGGGGGGGGGGGGGAGCACATTTGGGACAACCATGATCTGGATGACGGAGAATCTCCATAGACAAATTGCTTTCAAAGTAAGGCGTTCTCAGGCTTAGCCTCTGGCTTAAAGTTAATCTCTAGTTCAAGGTGGAGTTTAGGGAGGAAAAAAAAGGATTTGGAAATTGTGAGAAAAATTAACCAGTGAGGAGTTGTGGCTTCTCCAACACTGGAAGTTTTTAAGGAGAGATTGGACAGCTATTTTGTCTGAAATGATATAGGGTTTCCTGCCTAAGCAGGGGGTTGGACTAGAAGACCTCCAAGGTCCCTTCCAATTCTGCTATTTTATACTGGGAGACTACATGGCGCTGGGAAGTACAGTTTGTCCTTATCTCAAGACCAACTCTGTCTATCTCAGGATAGTCCTTCAACTTTTCTCTCTAATCTTTTTCTCTACACACACCATATCCTTGATCTCATGGTCAACACAGTTCATTACAGCAGGAGCGGAGTCCATTTTTTTACATTTTATTTACCAATTATAATTTTTTTATCCTGCCTTTATTATTTTTATAAATAACCCAAGGTGGAGAACAGACATAATGTTCCTTCCTCCTCCTCTTTTTCTCGTGCAGGTTGATTCTTACGTCTAGAACTCCCAGGCTCCTGGGGATCGGCCCAAACTCACCTAGCAGGCTTGCATGCCTAAACAGAGACTAGAACTCCCAGGCTCCAGTGACTCACATCAATCATAAAGACAAGGACATAAAAAGGGAGAGTTGTTGTATCAGAAGAGCTGGGGGGGGGCAAAATCAGCGGCTGCAAAGGTTGCTCCTCCCAGTCCTCCCCTTCTCTGCCCCCCCATCCTTCTCCCTCCCTCCCCTCCCAATATAGCCCCCCTCCCTCTCTTGCTTTCCCCCACCCTCCCAATACAGACCCCCACCCACCCCTCTCCCCACTTGTCCTCCTCCACCCCCTCCCAATATAACCCCAACCTCCACCCCTCATCCGACCTCTTGCCCTCCCCCACCCTCCCAATATAGCCCCCTCCCCAATCCTCTCTCCCCCCCTCTTGCCCTCTCCAGACCCTCCCCACCCCCTCCCAATATTGCTCCCCCACCCCTCTCTTGCCCACTCCAGACCGCCCCTCCTCCTCCTCCTCCCCAGACCCCCCC